CGATCAATCTCCGATTGTAAAAGTTGGTAAAAATCTTCTATCTCCTCTTCCTTGGCTCTGGTTGTTGGTGCATATATTTTAATGATAGTGGTATTCACTGGACTTCCTTGTATGCGTATAGATATTATCCTGTCACTGACAATATTGTACTTCAAGATAGATCTAGCATGCATTGAAAATATCTTTTTTAAAAAAAATATAAACAGCAATTATACACATGGACTTTGCCTGAGGGATTTCACAGGAATCAAATTTACTACATTTGTAGAAAGAATCACTGCAGAAGCAGTCAGAACAAGGCCAGGGGACAATTATTTACATGGAAGTTCAAATTGAAGTTAAGTAAAATGAAAACAGGTACACAAGAAAAAAACTATAAGTTTGTGTTTATCCCACCTAAGTTTGAAACTTGTCTCAAGAATAGATTAGAACCACTGAATACTAATTGCTGAAGATCAAACTAATTGTAAGATGACAATAAAGAGACATAGATTAGGAAAGTAATTATGAAACTCAATGCCCTTGATTCATACTTGACCCTTCAGTTGGTTTTCAGGAGGCTGTAAATTTCAGGGGAAGAGATTGTCCATCTTTCTCCTGAGAAGCTACTGGTAGAGTCCAAACTGTGGGGCTGCTTTGTTTGAGTTAACAGCACATCTCCCTACAGACTGCCACCAGAGCTCCCATTTTGGGTACATTGTTGTCATCATGAGCTATCAAGTTAACTGCAACTCATAGTGGACCCATACTTAACTATCTATCCCTTCCCTTCCCTTCTCTCTCTCTCTGCCCTCTCTGCCTCTCTGCCTCTCTTCCTCTCTCCCTCTCTCTTTCTTTTTTTCCTTTTCCTTTTTCTTTTTTCTTGTTGTGTGTCATCAAATCAGATCCAACTGGCACAGGAAGAGATTATCCCTCCTTCTCCAGCAGAGCATCTGATGGATTTGAACCATGTGCTTTCAGGACTGAAGCACAGCTTCAGGCCACCTGAGCTCCCTCATATTACACTTTCAGTACAAATATGTTCCAAATACTGTTGTTGTTATTGTTAGGTGCCATGAAGTCAGCTCTGACTCAAAGCAACTGTCATTCCATTTTCAAGGTTGTAAATCACAATGGGAGATGACTTTTTCTCTTTCTCCCACAGAATAAATACAGAAGTCTAACCACCAGAGATTCATTCCCAATGTGTCAGGGGTTGACCTGACCTGCCATCTGGATAAAGCTGCCAAATATGATGACATCAAGAAAGTAGTAAAGCAGGCATCAGAAGGACCCCTCACGGGCATTCTGGGATACACTGAAGACCAGGTGGTCTCCTATGATTTTAACAGTGACACCCACTCTTCCATTTTTGATCCTGGGGCTGGCATTGCCCTGAACCACCACTTTGTCAATCTCATTTCCTGGTATGAAAATGAATTTGGCTACAGCAACTGAGTAACTGAGTGGTTGGCCTGATGGTTCACATGGCCTCCAAAGAATAACAGCGCCTTGAACCACCAGCCCCAGAAATAGCACTAGAAGAGAGAGAGAGAGAGACTCAGCTGCTGGAGAGTCCTTGTCCCAACTTGATATCTCACACACACACACACACACACACACACACACACACACACACACACATACACAGAGAAACTTTAACATCCTTGACACAGTTTCCATCCAACCCCTTCGAAAATGGGAGAGGCTTAGAGAGCCCATCTTGTCATATATCATCAATAAAGTACACTGTACTCAGAAAAAACCCTTTGCTTTATGATAGAGATTATTCCAAAAGACATTACCATCACTGCTTCATTATTTCTAGTGGGCTTTATCAGATGACTTATCAGAACACTGTTTTCATTATTTCTATTTATATTAAAGTTTAAATGTTATTATCTTTTAACATTAAAGGGGAAAAACAGAATTTTGTAAGAAAATTGTGATGTAATTGCCTTGAATACCAAGAGTTTATTATTACCCAACACACAGTACTTTCCTCACTTCGTCAGGGAAAAAAGGGGAAAGAAGAATGACATTTTAAACCACATAAATGTTGCAAAACAGTGATCAAAAAATACTCTGCAAAACTTAATATCATCGATGAGACTACATACAAACTCTACTCTCTCTTCAGTTGAAGCATTCCATTTTCTAGCTTTTAAGATTGCTATTTGTTCTGCTCAAGCTCTGTTGGAACAGTGGTTAAAAACTCAGATGCTAGCCAGAAAGTGCAAACCTAAAAATCACTATGAGGGATAAAGATATGGTAGTTTGGTTCCAAAAAGATTTATAGCCTTAGAAATGCTGTGGGACAAAACTTCCTGGACGAAGAAGCTGTTGTATGAACAGAGAAAGGAAACACTGCATGGTTCAAAATCAGGAACAGTGTGTGTCAGGAAGGTATCCTTTCTTCATACCTGTTCAGTCTGTATGCTGAGCAAATAATACCTGAAGATAGACTGTATGAAAAGCAATGTGGCAACAGGATCAGAGGAATACTCATCAACAACCCACGTTACGCAGATGACACATCCTTGCTTGCTGAACATGAGGAGGATGTGAAACATTTGCAGCAGAAGATCAAGGACTGCAGCCTTCAGTATGGATTGCATCTCAACATCAAGAAGACAAAAATCCTAACCACTGTGCCAACAGGCAACATCATGATAGACTAGAAAGCATTGACATTATCAATGATTTAATCTTGCTTGGATCAAAAATCAACACCCTTGGTACCAGCAGTCAAGATACCAGGAGTCGTATTGCATTGGGCAAGTCTGCTGTCAGAGACTTCTCCAAAATACTAAAGAGCAATGATGTCAGTTTGAAGACTAAAGTAAGCCTGATACAGGGTATGGTTTTTCAATCTAAGTGACAGAAGAATTGAAGCCTTTAAGTTGTGTTGTTAGAGAAGAATACTGACTATCCCATGGACTACCAAAAGAACAAACAGATATGTCTTGGGAAAAGTGCACCTAGAGTGCTTGTTGGAGACAAACATCACTTCTCATACTTTGGGCATGTTGTTAGGAGAGGCTATTCCTTGGAAAGGAACATCATTCTTAGAAAGGTGGAGGGTCAGCGAAAGAGAGGAATACTCCCAATGAGATGGACAGACACAGTGACTCCAGCAAAACACTCAAGTATGTCAGAGATGCTGAGGACAGCACAGGATAATACAAGATTCAAGTCTGTTGTTTATTAAGGCATTCTTTTTTTTTATCAATAAATAAAAACCTTAAACATTCTTACATAGATTTTAAAAGAACAGAATACATAGTAAAAATTTCAGTAATTTATATCAATTTTAAGCAGTACTTTATATACAATGGGATGGGGGAGGGGAGAGAAACACATGCATAGTCCAAATATTGAGGCATTCTTAATGACACCTAGCAATGACAACACACTTGTTATTTTTTAAATACCCTCATTGCCATCGAGATAAGAGGAACTCCTAGTTGAGCCTCCTATGCATTTTCTTTCTTTCTTTCTAAAATTTTTTTTCTTTTATTAATTTTAATGAACATTTACAGATATTTTAGATTTCCATTCATTCATTGTTGCATTATTTTCTCTACACCCCCAGTTCGGTCCTCTCTTTTTTTTTCCCCTTGAAAGTCTGTTTTAATTGTCCCATTGCCACAGTGCTTGTCAAAGCCAGTTCTGATTAATCTCCTTTGTCAGTGTGTCCTTTGCCATTCCCTATCACTACTCCCTGAGAGAGATTTCACCCTGATTCATAAGGAAAGGGGGACAGCGTATTCTCTTAGTTACTTCCTGCTGAAAAGGGACGCTGTAGGTTTCAGGGTGAAGAGCTTCCTTCAATACTCTAAAGGGCACTTTGGCAATAGGAAAAATGTAGACTATTGTGGAGATTGATTTTGGAATTTAGATGTACTGTTACCAATTGTGCTTAGCCATACATGTCCATATCCTTGAAGATGCATCATGGAACTGTTGCAGCCTAGAAGACACAAATTTAACTAACAAGTTAAAAGCACCTGAGTCAAAAATTAAAAGCAATAATATTCCAAGTAGAGGTTCTAACAGTGGCACAAATCAAGTTACAGAAGAAAGGTAGTTCTTGCAATAAAAGGCTTATTGACTAGGTCTTTGCCTATTATAGTATAAAGGTTAGGAACCACAAAATGTAGAGGCTCAACTATGTCATTTATTGTTCTTAAGTCCTGGACCAAATTCCATCTACCACTGTGTTGTTTTACAGCTCGGAAGTCCACCTGCAAGGCAGAGGTGAAGTAAGGAACTGCTTATGAGATTTTCCGTAAATTCCAACTCCTAAAAAATAGTGAGAAGAGTTGGGACCTCAGAAGGCTTTTAGGACCAAATAATAGGCTCTTGTGTCCAGAAGAAAAGCAATATACTTAGCAGTAATGTTAATGCTCACTCACGGTTCTTCTGGGAGGATCTAAATCATTGAAGTGTCCTTCTTTATTTCCAGCTGGGAACTGGAGCCTGTCAGTCCCGTCAGACATGAGGACCTGATGTGGGCCGCCCTTGGCCATGTGTCCTTCAGATCCACACTTAAAGCAAGTGAGTGGGAGCTTCCTCTCTACTCCCTTGCCTATCTGTGGCTCTCATCTTTGACACTGTCTACTGAAGTGGCCCAGCTTTCCACAGTGGAAGCAATTCTGACCTACTTTATTACCTTTGGATGGCATTGTTTATGAGTAATACTTCCTTTGCCTGACACAGGCCCTAAACTGGCAGCAATAGCTGCCCCAATAATTTTGGCCATTCTCTGGTCTTTTCTCTTCCCTCTAGATCCCAGTTGTTAAAAGAGGGAAAAATTTAAACTAATAATTTTGAACAATATAATCTTTTAAGTTTAAGGCTAGAAATATTAACAATATGATAATTTCCAATCCAGAGATACATGTTCCAATGCAGTTCCTATTTTCCATAAATGGTTTTGGTAAGAAGAATATTGTAAATGTGGATACAGTTCCACTCTTCCTCCTCCATGCCATGATATGGTGTTATTAGCATGAGCAGTTATAAATCCATTGCCTTCCTTACTCTAACTTAATTTTTTTAATTTAAATTTATTATTAATTTCAATAAAAATTTACAGAGACTTTGGATTTCCATTCTTTCATTGTTGCTCCTATGCATTTTCTAGAGGTTGTGAATCACATGGGAGGAAATGACCCACCTTTGTCCTGAGGAGCCACCTGTAGATTCGGACTGCTAGAGAGGCACTTTTGGTTTTGGCAGCAAAATTTTCTATAAACTACACCACCAGAGTTCCCTTTTTGGGTAAAAGTATGTTCCAAATATTGTAGAGGCCATTGTTGTTGTAATTGTTTGGTTCCTACAATTTGACTCTGACTTAGAGCAACCATAGGTGTGATAGAATGGCACAGTGCCCATTTGATCCAAGCATCCTTCTCTGGAGGGTTTAAAATGGTAAGAAATGCTAAATGAAGCTATTTGAGGGAGGGGAAAGTATAATTCCATGAAATGTTGCTGTTGTTACGTGCCATCAAGTTCTCTGCAACTCTATGTACAATATCTCTGAACTCTGCCCTACCCAGACTTGGTCTCACTATCTCTGATACACTTAGTCCCATTATTCCAGTTATTGTTTCAATCCAGCTCATCTGGGTTCTTCCTCTCCTGCACTGTCCCTCCACCCTTGTGAGCATGATTTCCTTCTCCAAGGATTGACTGGTCCCACCTGGCCATATACCTAAAGTATGTGAGACAGAACTTCAAAATTCTTGCCTCCAAGGAGAAGCTTGGTTTCAACCTCTTCAAAACAGAGCTGTTTGTTTTCTTGGTGGTCCATGGTATGTTTAAGATTCTTCTGTACCATCATGTCTCAAAGGCATTGATTCTATTTAAAAAAATTATTATTTTTTGTGTGTACCATCAAATCAGATCTGACTGTTACAGGAGAAGATTGCACCTCCTTCTCCAGCAGAGCATCTGGTGGATTCAAACCACATACCTCTGGGATTACAGTGCAGCTTCTTGCCACTAGGCCACCAGAAGCTCTAATTCTTTTTTTTTTCCCTAAAGCATTGATTCTTCTTCTGTCATTCTAGTCATTGTCCAGCTCTCTGATGCATAGCAAATAATTGCAAAGACTAAGGCCTAAATCAGGTGCACCATAATCTCTATACTAACGTCATTGCTCTTTAGCACTTTAAAGAAGTCCCTAACAGCAGATTTCCCTAAAGCAATACATCTTTTTATTTCCTGACTGCTGGTACCAAGAGTGTTGACTGTGGAGCCGAGCAAGATGTAATTGTTAACAATCTCAATCCCTTCCCCACCTGCTGTCCTGCTACCAATTGGTCCAGTGGTGAGAATCTTTGGCTTCTTGATGTTGAGCTTCAGTCCATGTTGAAGACTACAGTCTTTAACCTTCTGCCACAAATGCTTCAGATCC